ATAAGCTACAGGTTAGATTGTATTTACATTAGAAATGTGGGGAGAAGCCTTTACTGTGTGAGACTTAGGGGAAAATAGGAGGATGAATTTGAGTCCTGATTTGTTGAAGTAAATGTAGACACATCTGAGGAAATACATGTTAAATGGTGTCAATACTTTCCATACTACAAGAGTGAAAATTGTCTTTTGGGCGTCAGTCTTGAGAGCAGCAGATCTGAGAAAGTGTTGACTGCATTAAGAAAATGGGAGAAAGTTTGAAACAACTACGGTAAAGGTTATTCTACTGAGAAAATGAGAGGGGGGGTTACAGTCATTTCTGAGAAATTAGGCCTTCATTTTTATGTGATGAATATATATGTGCTTTTGAATAGTTTTATTCAGTGCCTTTATTACAAGTGAAAGTTTATGTCTTTAAGAAAAAATAAATTACCAGTCATCCTCTAGTAATAAGAGGATGGGTACATTGTTTTTTATCTTCATATCCTTGGTACCTTTTATGTTACCTATAATATCAGCAGCTGCTCCCATCATTTATAAAGAATTTACAATGTACCAGCGCTCTCAAGTTGTGAAATAGTAGATCTGATATTTAGAATCATATCTGTCAACTCCAAAGCTTGTATACTCTAAGTACCATAATTCTCTAATTTTATGTTCAATAAATTATTAAATAAGTGAGCAATTTTGAAATAATTTATTCAGACCTTGACATGTATGCATTTGCTAGTAGGATTTTAGAATTTGCAAAAGAGACTCATTCTGATACATAGAATTTCATAGCCATACCAATTTTTCCTACCTTATAATTAACTCTCCTGGGTATGTATAGACCCAGACATTCCTAAAAAAGATTTTTTAATGAGTTTAAAAAAATTTTTGGAATACTTTTATTTATTTACTTATTTATTTTTAATACAGGTACTGGGGATTGAACCCAGGACTTCGTCCATGCTAAGCACACACTCTACTACTGAGCTGTACACTCTCCCCTTAAAACTTTGAAATACTTTTAGATGTACAATTTTCAAAGATAGCACAGAGAACCCTCATATACTCTTTACCCAGTTTCTGCCACTGTTAACATCTTTTTTCTCTAAAAAAATTTTTTTAATGCAAACGAAAATTGGAAATTTAAATTTAAAAATATCAAAAAATTCTTTTTTAGAAATTTCAAGTACATGGTAACTTGGTCTCACCAAGTTGAGGTGGTAATATGATTCTCATGTTATCTCAGTTCGATTTTCCTGTCAGAATACTCAGGGAGACTTCCTGACCCAGAAAATCAAACTGAGTAGTGGGACTCTTTCAACTCTAATGTTCCTTAGGTTTATGAAAATATTTTTTGAAAGAACTCATATTTTGTAACAGTTGCTACTAACCATGACAATAATCAACAGGTATTAAAATTCTCAAAGTGATATGATAAAAATCAGGGATAGTTTCTATTTGGTTTGTATAAAATGCCATGTCATGAACAAAAGAAGTTGTATTTTGAACTAATTTCAATGGCTGCAAGTTATTGTTACTGATTTGGGTGCTGACGGGATATGAAAAAGGGAAGACACTGTATTTTGAAAGCTGTGAACAATACATGTTCATAAATGGCTAACTTCTTACTTTACTGGGAAGAAATGGACAGTGGACCTGGAGTTCATTGGCCAACAGGATGTATTTAGTGCAACAGTGCCCTGGAACCATGTTGCTGGAGTCTGATGGCAGTGTTTCTTTACTGTGACACTAGCACATGGAGGGGTGAACTGCAGATGTTCATGTACCAGACTGAACTTTCCGATCCTCAGTTTCATATTGTTTTCTCTTTGCTCCTCAGACTTTCATAGTATTGAACAAGGGGAAAGCAATCTTCCGTTTCAATGCTGCACCTGCTTTGTACCTGCTCTCTCCTTTCAATCCTCTGAGAAGAATATCAATTAAGATTTTAGTACACTCATATCCTTTTTAAAATGCTTACTTGTAATGGTTCTTTAAAATGTAGTTTTTGCTATTTTATTTAAATATAGATTTTAGTCCTTTCATACCTGAAAAGACTCTAGTTTGTCAATTTCAATATAATTTGGTGTAGATCTCTGAGTAGATTGGGAGAATGGCAATTTTAGCATTTTAAGATAAATTACTTTTATCTATCACTTGCTTGTTCAAAGAGATTTTTTTTTAAAGCCAATAGACTTATGTAGGATCATTTTCTAAGGAAAAATTGTTAACATTTCAACACATGTCTTTATCGAATATTTAAAGTCCCCACTGTGGTCTTTTATCATATTCCTTGATTCTGAGCTACCTTATTCAGCATGCTAATCATGTGCACTATTCTGACGAACTGCATATTTATGACCTTGAGTAGCCCTCCAGATTGGACCAAGAATGTAGAGTAAGTCGGAATCAGTACATTTTAATATAGTCTTT